GGGCGTCGCCGGGATCGTGTGGGTTTGCGCTTCCCCCAGGCTCCTTTCCAGGGGGCTGGGGAGACCCGCGATTCCATGCTGGGCGCCCCCACCCCCACCGCCGGGCCCTAACACCCCCAGATTCCGGGAGCTCACCCCCTTCCAGGGGACAGGGCGCAGCCTTCGCATGGCTCGGTCCCTCGGACGGATCCCTCCCCGGCCTGTCCTCCGGGGTCTCCGGCCCAGCAGCGCGTGGCCACCCAGCCCAACTTCCGGGGCGCCCAGAGCGTCCGGGGCGCATCGTGAAACCAAAGACACGAACACAAGACTGGGGAGGCCGCCGCCGGGCTCGGCCTCATGAACGCACAGCGGGTCTGACGGCCGCACCCGCAGCTGCACCTCGAGGTCCGCGTTGGCGACTCCAGCGCTGGGCCCGGGCTTGGGGGGGCGCCCTGATCCCGCAGCGAGGCTCCGACCCGTCCCCGCGGGGCTCAGCGGCGCCTCAGGCGGGTGGAGGCCGGGGAAGCTTCCTGGATAAAGAGGAGGCTTGAGGCCGGGACGCGTCTGCAGAGACCGAATGGCGCGGTTTGCTGTGCCGGGTCCGAGTGAGCGGGCGCTGGGGGAGCCCGCGGGCGAGAGCGGGGCCCAGGCAGACCCGGGTGGGATGAACAGCCTTCCGCCAGCGGGACCGCGGCCGCCAGGAGCACCGCGGTTTCTCCTGCTTTTAAACGCGCTTTTATTCTGGTTTCCTAACGTCCGAGAAGTGGAGGGAGCCTTGAAATGAAGCCGACCCCCCCCACACACACACACCCCGCCCAGCTGTGACTCCTGGCCAGCCGGTCCATCCTTCTCTATTAGCACTTGGTTAATGTTTATTTTTGTTGAGATATTTTCAGGCAAACGCAGGCATCACATCATGCCATCGGTAAATACATGTGTCTTTAACTGATAAGAACTTTCAAAATTAACAATACAAAAAAATAAAACTAAAAAATTACCAATACAGCTGAAAATTCACCTCTGGGTAAGCCACCGCCGTGTCCGCAGCAGCCGACTGGTCCAGGGGGAAATGCAGGCGGTTGCTTCTGTTCTGACCAACCGCAGGGATGCAGGGGACCGAGCTGTGACTTAAACGCACGCACGGAACTGAGCCAGTGGCTCCGGAACCCTGAGGGCGGAGCAGGCGGGCGGCTCCGCTGCTGGGTCTCCAAGCCGCTGAGGCCGCGGGGCTCTCGGGTTCCTCTTGGCACCTTTGTCCCTTGAGTCTGAGTCTGAGTCCGGTCCGGACAGAGGCCTCAGAGCCTGAGGACTGGGTGCCCCTGTTTCACCCGCCTTGTCTGGGCAGGCAGCGGGGCTGTGCAGCCCGCTGTGCAGAGCCGCCTGGGGAGGGCCTGGACCCCGCTCCCCTCCAGAGGCTGGCGCTAGGAGGACGCCGCACTGGCCTACAGCAGGGAGGGTAGCCCAGGGAGTTACCCAGGCGATTGCAGCCGCAGGGAAGGCGCCTGGGCACTAACTCCCGGGGAGGGGCCCCAGCACAGGTCGGGCCCCTGGGAGCGGGTGTCTGACCTCCCAGCACCAGGTGGAGGAAGGGGGTGGCCCAGTGACTTCATGGGGTCCCTGCCCCACAGTCTCTGCTCCTCTCCGAGCCCCAGTTTCCCTTTCTGGGAATTGCCAGATGGGCCTGGCCAGTGTGGTTCAGCGGTTGAGCATCGTGGATCCAGGAACCAAGAGGTCGCAGGTTCAATTCCCGGTCAGGGCGCATGCCCACATGCTGGGGTTGCTGGCTGGATCCCCAGTAGGGGCCCTGCAGAAGGCATCTGACGGATGATGTTCCTCTCTCATCTCTCAACGATGTTTCTATCTCTCCCTCTCCCTTCCTCTCTCTCTAAAAATCAATAAAAACATGTTTTTAATTTAAAAAAGAAAAAGAATTGCCAGATGGGACCAGAGGCCACGAAGGATGCTTGGGAGAGAGACCCGCCTGCCGCTCCTGCCTCCCTCTTGGTGCCCACCTGTCCCCTGCAGCTCCCAGCCCCTTTGTCTCCGTCCACCTGGGGCAGCTCAGAGCCCAGGCTTTAGGAAAACCCTCCCTCGGGCCTCCCGCCTGGCTCAGTCAGCGGGAGGCCCTGGGGGCAGCAGTCCGGGCCAGGGCTCCGAGGTGCAGGAGCCTGGCTGTGGTGTGTTGTCATGTTGTGACTCCATTTCCCCTTGACCCAGGAAGGGCCCAGCCCTCGTCCCCCTTTAGTGGCCCTTCCCAGACTCACCTGTACAGATGGGGGAGCGGATTCTCCACCTTCTTCTCTGGGAGGCGCTAGTGAGGACTTGGCCTGGTCCTCCCCAAGCAGGGCCCGGAGTGCCCAGAGGCTTGGGTCACTCCCCAACACCCGTCGGGTAATCCCTAGACTCGTGGGCAGGGTGTGGCTATGGCGCTGGCCTGGGTCCGGGCCAGGGAAGGCCCAGCACTTACAGGTGAGACCCCATCCTCAGCCTGGAGAAGAGAAGGGGCTGGCTCCAGGCTCAAGGTCACTGGTGAGGACGGCTGGGGCCGGGCTAAGGCGGGTCTGCCCTGGGCGTCCAAAGCCGGTCAGATCCTCCCGGGCTCAGGGAGTCTGACCCGACACCCTGGGCAGCTCTTGGTGGCTGAGTCGGGCCTCTCTGAGGGGTGCGTGGGGGGCGGTGTGGAGGGGAGGGCAGGCGAGGTGGAGGCAGACCTAAGCCGTCCATCTTCGGCCAGGAGGGGAGCCAGCACACCCAGGCTGGTGGGAGATCCATGGCGCTGGGGCTCAGGGTGCTGTGGTCCCAGCCTGGCCCCGCTGTAACCACCACTGCTCCCTGCTGGTGCTGCCCCTGGTGCCACCCCCAGGATGCTGGTAGCGCCGGCTTTGGGAGCCTGGCTTTCTGTGCTTCCCCGTGGGGCTCCCAGCTCAGAGACAGCGCTAGGCCCCTGAGAGGGTTGCAGCCGCCTCCACCACCGCTCCCTCCATCCACCTCAGCCCCGCCAGCCCCCGCCCGGCAGGGCAGGTGTGTTAGGTGCTGGCCAGCCCAAACATTCACGGATTCATGGAAAAGACCTGGCCCTTCTCTCCCCATCCCTCCTCCCCCTTCCCTCGGACACAAGTGGCCGGCTCCTCTGCTGCTTGGGGGAGTGGAACTTCTGACTCTGCGCCCACAGACTCCGCACCCTTCACACGCCTGTGGCCCCGCTGTGAGGCTCCTGGGCCTGAGGCTCCCCTGCCTGAAGCTCTGGTTGGTGCGCACCCACCGGCCCCTGAGGAAGACACGCCTGGGGACCGGGCACCGCCCTCTGCTCAGCACACGCTGCAGCCGCCATGTCTCCTCGGCCACCGGGCTGTGGGCCTGGTGTGCAGAGAGGGTGGGCGCTGCAGGCAGGACCGGCCCTGGCCCCCAGGCCTCCATGGGAGGACGGGATCCGCAGGAGGCTGTCCTCAGGACTGACATTGCATGAGGCCACCACCAATGTGACAGCGCGAGGGTCCCAGGGGAGCTGGAGCCAGGGTGTGGAGGCCCAGCGTGGGCCTGGGGAGCAGCGATGGAGGGTGGGTGGGTGCGGCCCTCGGAGTGGCCATGCGGAGCCCCTGGCACCTCACTGACTAGGCGCACAGGCCTTTAAACTTAGCATAACTAGCAGCAAACCCGCTCTGTTAAACCAGATCCTACGTCCCTTCCAGACTAAGTCAAGCCGAGTCTCAGCAGCTGCTAAGTAGGGGGTGAGCCTCCCGCCCCGGAGAGCGAATCTGAGCCTGGCAGGGCCACGGGGAGGCTGACAGGGAGCTGGCAGGTCTGCCTCACCAAAGGGTGGGAGCTGGTTTGGAGGGTGGGCCCCTTAAGTTCCTTAAGATGCTCCCCGTGTCCTGCATCAGGCACGAGGAGCAGGGAGCCGGGGATCTCAGGTGGGGATCTTAGTGCCCGGAGGGGCCAGGACAGCCTGGGTCACCACGGAGGCCCCACCACGGAGGCCCCAGGCTGACAGAGAGGGGTGGCCACAGGGATCCCGGCGTTTGAAACGCTTTCTTCCAGAGCCCACAATGGCCCTGAGCAGGGACTGTGCCCATCGACAGTCCCAGGCCCCCAGGCGGCCAGAGAATGCAGGCGGGCCAGAGGTGAAGCCAGGTGGGGCTCAGCATTCCTCGAAGCCCTTTCTGGGAGGCCAGGGTTTTGTTTTGGCAAAAAGAAAAACCCCATCTGGTTGGAGAGGCTCTTAACTCCAGGCCCAATGGGACAGTGGGCATGGCTGCCACACGGAGCAGCCCACAGGCTCTGCCTAACCTGCCGGATGGCTGCTGGTTTCCGTGGAGACACAGAGCTTCGCATAGGGACCCACCTGTGCCCCTCTCCCTCCCAGCTCCCTCCCCGGCCCACTTCCTCTGGGGTCACTGGGGCTCCCCGTTGGGGGGGAAGGGGCGGTGGTAGCGTAGCCCCCAGACCTCAGACTCCGGCCCACCTGCCACCAGCTGGGCTCTGCGCGGCCCAGGTCGGCTGGAAAGTGCTCGGGAGGGAGAAAGGGCGCCCACGGGCTGCCAGAGAGGCGGCCTCACCCAGTGACCACAAAGCAGCCGAACCGTCCAGAAAACGTCCCTTTTATTCCATAGGCAAATAAGTAGATTCGTTAAAAAAAAAAAAAGTCTTGGCCGCTGGAGCCGCAGCCCCGGAGGGGAGGCCCAGCCTGGCCCTCTCCCCCGGGTCCTCTCTCGGGGGCCCAGGGCCAGGCCCGAGGCTGGTCACAGTCCTGGGTGGCCCGGTGGGGTCCCCTCGCGGTGCGTGTGCTGAGGGTGCAGCTCCTGCTGCAGCGGCGCGGGCTGTCTTGGCTGCGCGGTGCCGGCTCCCCCGCAGCGGCGGAATGGCTTCCAGGCTGAGGCCCCTTCCCGGGGGAGGACTCCGGCCTCGCAGCTCCGCGGATCCGCGTCCCTGTTATATTCTGGGGGCGCTGGGGGCAAAGCCCCGCCCAAGCTGGCGCTCCCGGCGCCCCGAGGGGCTGCAGGCGCACACCAGCCCTCCTGGGGGGCCCCGCGCCCCCTGCGCCTGGCGCCACCCCACCGAGCGTCCCCAGAGCTCCCAGCAGCCGAGGGGAGTGGGCCCGGCGGAGGGGCTCACACCAGGCCGGGCATCTGCGCCCGCAGGAAGGGCACGGAGGCGGCGGCGGGGAAGGCGGCCAGGGGGTAGGCCAGGGCCCCGGAGAAGCCGAGCAGCGGCGGGGGCGGCGCGGGCGCGGCGGGCGCCAGCGGGAAGGGCAGCGCGGCGGGCGCCCCGGAGGCGGCGGCCGGCGGGCTCTCGTGGTAGAGCACGGGCACGCGCACGAGGCGCTGCGCGCCGGGCGGGGACAGGCTGGCCGCCTCCAGCTCGGCCGCCAGCTGCCGCTTCCACTTGTTGCGCCGGTTCTGGAACCAGATCTTGACCTGCGTCTCGGTGAGCTGCAGGGAGGCGGCCAGGCCGGCGCGCTCGGCGCTGCTCAGGTAGCGCTTCAGGTCGAAGGTGGACTCGAGCTGGAAGACCTGGCTGCGCGAGAAGACCGTGCGCGTCTTCTTCTTGCGGCCGCCGGCCGCCGCCGCGCCGCGCGCGTCCCCCGCCGCCGGGGCCTCCGCCAGCTCCGCCGCCTCCTCCGCGCCGGCCGCCGGGCCCCGCGCCGCCAGCTCCGCCGCCTCGCGCTGCACGGCGCCCGGCCCGGGGCCCCGCTGCCAGGCGCCCTCAGCGCGGCCCATCTCCTCGCCCGTCTCGGGTGAGTCCCGGTCGCTCGCTGCAGGGAGACAGGGAAACACAGTCGGCGGCGCGGGCTGCTCCCCAGGCCCCGTCGCTGGGGCCTCTGCGCCCCGCGGGCACCACCGCTACTCGCTGGGCGTCTTCCCGGCACCGGGACCGCAGTGGCACATCCCGCGGGGACGGGGACGGGGACGGAGAGGCAGAGGGACAGCAGGTGGCCTGCAGACCAGAAACTGCCAGCACCTCGCGCCCGAGACAGAAAGCGGGGAGACGGCCGAAATGCACAGAGGCCGCCGCCTGCAGCCAGTGACACGCAGTGGAACAGGACACACAGGCCGCCTCCAGGAGGACAGATGCCTTTCAGAGAAATGTGCCGGGCGCCTGGGGAACAGCAAGACGCCCTGGCCCCAGCCCCCAGCCTCAGAAACGAGGACCTGCTGGGACCCGTGGGCTCTCGAAGGAGCGGGTGCAAGTCCAAGTCCCCGCGTGCACAGAAACATTCCTGCGGAAGCAGACCACGAAGCACACGATCCCAGGAAACTCCAGTGCTCAGGCCACCGGTGCCCACAGCCCCTTTCCCGGCCCTGAGCCAGATTCCCCAGGATGCTCCCCGAAACCCACAGGGACCCACAGTCTCGCCCGGAGGAAACAAACTCAGGGCCTGCAGGACATGCAGTCGCCACTGAACACGCGGGCGGGCTGCGCAGCCTGTGGCTTTCCGGGTTCAGGAGTCTGCAGGGGCCCCTGACCGCCCAAAGGTGAGGAGAGGCCCCAGGCTGACAGAGGATGGTGCCCCCAGCCCAGAGCCGGTGGTGGCTGGGGCTGTATCGCCTGGTGCCGCTGGCTGGGCCGATGTGGGGGTGCCCCTGCCCAACCCCGGTGGCTACACCTCTTGGTGGCCACGGAGAGGTCAAGTTCCAGGCCAGCGTTCCTGCCACCTGATGTGGGGAGCCTGTCTGACCACAACACCCACACCCCCACACTCACGAGGCTGGTGAATGGCCACAAGATGCCCGGCAGGATCACCAGCTCCGAAGCAGACTGGGACCCTAACCCGCATGGTGTGAAAGGAGCCCAGCCACCTCCTGGGAGCTGAGGAAGTGGGGGAGGGGGAGGGGGTCTCACCTTCTGAGACCCTCAGTCGCCCCTAGAAGGGCCCTAAATTGGATCACTGGATTTTAGGAAACACATCCGCTCACTTTAGTAACAGGGCTCAGACTTCCTGAGTGTGGCCTCAAGACCTGCCCGCGCTGCCAGGCACACCAGAGAGGGGGTCACCCAAGAGGGAGCAGGTCTCTGCCCACCACCTCAGCACACAAACATGCCACAGGGCTGAACGGACTTCGGATCAAGAGCCCCCAGAACCCAGAACCGAGCTGGCCACGCTGTGTGTGTTGGGGGGGGGGGGATGGCAAAACCTGGGCCTGGTTGGAATGGCTTCCCAGTGCCCCTCCCCATGGCTCCCTGTGAAGGCCAGGTCCCCCCAGAAACAGCGACCCTCCTAGGGGAGCAGAACCTTGGGGAAGGGGTTCGGAATGAAGGGGTGCTGAGCTGAGAACCCCCAGTCCCAGCCCTCAGCAGGGAACAAAGGCAGGAGAGGGGGAGGAGCAGGAGAGGGGGGGGGGAGGTTGGGGGCTTCAGTACAGGCCCCCGCTTGCCCCCCCCCCAGAACACAGTCCTAACGTCTGGAGGCTCGGGAGGGAGGCCGGGCCCTGCGGGAGGCCTGGTGCGCAGCTCTCGCAGGAGACAGGACTTGGGGCACAGACACTGTGGAAGCCGCTCCCCTTGGGGTCGGCCCCCCAACAGTGGCTCCCTCTGCTCAACGCCTGTATTTCCCGAATCCGACTCTCCTTTGTCCTCGCTTCCTCTCCTCCTCCTCCTCCTCCTCCTCGCTGTACCCTTTCTCTTCCCCCCTCACTCGGGGGTTCGTTTTCTGCACCTTTCTCCTCTTTGCTCCTCCAGCGCCCTCCTCTCTCCGTCCCTCTCTGCTCCCTGTCCTGCAGGTCTCCTCTCTCCTCGTCAGATTTCACTTTCTCTTTTCTCTTTCTTCAACTGCCACCGCCTCTCCCAAACCCTCTCCACGCTCTCCGGCCTCCCCAGGCCTTTCGGGGTCTGGCAACAGCGAAACCCCGACCCTGCGAAGCCTCCTCCCCACGGGCACCCTGTTCCGGAGCGCAGGCCTCCAAACGCACCCACCAGGGTCTCCGCTACGGCTGACACGACCCACACTCCGCCGCACACAAGAGGAGGGCGACCCAAAACAGTCCCCGAGCAAATGCGCGGGGAGGGAGCCCGGCCCCGCCGCCTGGCCCGCCCCGCCACGCGCCCGCGCCCTCACTCACTGTCCGGACTCAGGCCGCCTCCGTAGCCGCCGTGCGCCCGCGGGTACCAGCGCGTCGTGCCGCCGCAGCCCAGAGCGTAGGGCGGCCCGGGACCGGGGGGCGGCCGGGGACCGAGGCCCAGCGCGCCAGGCCCCAGCAGAGCCCGCGCCCGCGCCTCCCCGCCGGGCCCGGAGCCCGCGCGCAGCTGCCGCCGCCGCTGGAGTCGCCGCCGCCGCGCCCGCTCCGCGTCCTCGTCCTCCGGGTCTTCGTCCTCGTCCTCCTCGTCCTCGCGGCCGCCGCCGCCCTGGGCCGCGCGCCCCGCGCCCTTGGCCTCCGCCGCCAGCAGGTTCTCGATGAGAAAGGAGGAGGCGCGGGCCGGCGTGGCGCGCCCGGGCTCCGTCAGCTCGTCCGGCATCTCCGCGGCGGGCCCGTCGGGCTCGGCAGGGCTCCTCGGGGTCCCGAGCGCCCGGGGCGCGGCCAGTCCCGGCACCCACTGGGGACTGGGGCGCGCGGCTCCGGGTGCACGCGCCGGCCGACCCTGGAGCCGCCGCTCGGAGCGCCGGCGTCGGGGCCCGCGGTCAGGCGGCCTCCGCGCGCGGTCGGGCCAGGCCGGGAGCGGGTGCGCGCCGACAGCCGGCCGGACAGCCGCCTCGCTCGCCTTTCACGTCGCCGCTCTGGTCGCCGGCGGGGCCGGCCCCGCTGGGGGCGGGGAGGGGAGGAGGGGCCAGCGGGGGCGGGGCGGGCGGGCGGGCGGCCAGCTCAACCCACGGACCCCACGGCGGGCCCCGCGCGGCCACTGCCCGGAGATGCCACGGGATCCGCACGCGCAGGCCGTCGCGCGGCCGGGGACCCAGGCGGGGGGTCGCGGCGGGTCCGGCCTCGCGTGATCCATTCCCGGGGTCCGCGCCAGCGCTCCGAGGGGTGGGGAGCTGGGGCCTGGGCCCGGCGACCGCCCATTGGCTGCGGGACCCCGGTAAGAAACAGGCTGGCCAATCACCGCCCTGCGAGGCCGCAATTCCCGGGCTCGAGGAGCGTGTGGGACCGAGCGTGAGTAACTGTGCGCGCGCGCGAGTGGCCTGTGCGTGTGTGCACGCGTGTGTGTGCGTGTATGTATGTATGTGCGTGTGTACAGCGGGGCGCAAAGATCCCGGGGCGTCCAAGAAATCGCAAGGGGCTGGACCACAGTCATTTTTTTTAAAGACCCCGGGTGTCAGGGCAAAATTATGGCATATTTTCTTTTTCTTTTATTTTTTAAATATATTTTTATTGATCTCAGAGAGGAAGAGAGAGGGAGAAGGAGATGGAAGCATCAATGATCAGAGGGATCCTTGATCGGCTGCCTCCTGCACGCCCCACACGGGATGGAGCCCGCAACCTGGGCCTGTGCCCCGACCGGGACTCCAACCGGTGTCCCCTTGGTTCCCGGGTAGGTGCTCAACCGCCGAGCCCTTCGGACCGGGCTAGTTTCATATTCAAACTCAGTGAGACGTGAGTGCCGACGTCGTTAACGTCGTTAATGCAGCTCCAGTTCCCGGCTCAGGCTCCGAGAAAGGAAAGGCCCCCCCCGCCCCCCGCCACCCCCATACCCCGCCTGAGCCACCCGAGTAGGAGCTGGTCCCCAAGTCCAGCGCCTGGGGAGGCCCGGCCTCCGAGGGGGTGGGGGCTTCCGGCCCAGCCGCTGCCACTCCGGGCGGCCCTGGGGAAGGCCCGTCCTCTCTGGGCCTCCCTTTCTTTTACTGCGAAGCCGCGGAGAGCGACCTCCCTGCTGCAGCGGGCAGCGCGGGAAGCGTGCACCCCGCCCACGCCGCCACCCGGAGCTGCGGCTGCGGGGGAATCGGCTTTGGAACGGGCGCCTGGCTCGGGTGGCAGCCGAGCGGCCGGGTCGCGGCGGTCGCTCGGGCGGGCGAGCCGGCTTCCCCGGGCGCGGATTACGGCGGGGCGATCCATCCGCACGCCCAGCGCCAGCGGGGGCGGGGGAGGCGAGGGGCAGTCCAACCGCGTGCCGCCCGCTTCCCCGAGGTCGGCGGCGGGCGCGGCTTCCAGCTCGCTTTAATCCCCGAACAACCAGGGCCAACGCGGAGGGAGCGCCGCCTCGCTTTCCGGGGCGGGAGCGGCGAGGGGAGGGCGCCCAGGTGGGACGTGGCGCCGGCCCGGGTTCGCGCTCGGAGCCTGGGATGCGCCCGCTCCGCGCCGACGCGGTGATCCGACGGGAGCTCAGCAGCGGCCGGGAGCCGCGCGGGCCAGGGCCTAGCGGGGACCTCGCCCCGTGCAGGTGCGCCTGCGGCCTGCCCCGGGGCCAGCCGCCCTCGCCGCCTGCATTTTCCTCCTGCGGCTGCCCCAGGACGGTGACCTCGGGGGGAGGGGGCTTGTCTGCCCACGCGGGACCGAGGCTGGACCCTCTCCTCCGGCCGCACAGCGGCCCCAGGAACAAAGACAACCCGGGATCCAGGCTCCTGGAGGGGACTCAGGGCTGGCGCAGACGGAGATGGGGCCTCCCGTCTGTCGGTCCGCTCTATGGATGAGGACACGGAGCTGGGGTCTTGGGAAGAGCTGTGGTCCCGCCCCCCCAGGACTGCTCCCCGGGACTCCCCAGCCAGAGGGGCTGGCCAAGGGGAGGGATGAACTCCCCAATTACAAAGAGGACTGGTTCCTGGCTCCACGCTGCGGCTGCCTGCGACTCCCAGGGCGTCTGACAGATGGGGAAGCAGACGCCCCTGGAAGGCGCTGGTGCGAGAGGCTGTGGGGAGGAGTGCCTTCCGGACAACAGACTGCTCCCCCAGGGTGCCTGGGCGCTCCCATGAGGGGCGCTCCCCCAACACTTCCCTGGACCCCCCGCCTGAGAGTGGGGCCACCACGGCCACCTATCTGGGCACCTTCCAGCGGGCGTCCTCTGAGTGGCTCCTGACTCTCCCTGCGTGGGGGGCTACTGGCCCTGCATGGGGCGGGGGACTCGTCTTCCCCACCCTGGCTCTCTCCTGGAAGCCGCACTAGTGAGTGTCCTGCCTGGGCCGGCTGCTGGGAGCGAGACTGGACTCAGCCAGCTTATGTCTCCCCACTGCCTCTGGGGGGCCCTGGGGGATAGAGGTGCCTTCCTGCCACAGCAGGGGCTTCTGGGGGTGTCGGAGGGCGTGTCCCTGAGCGCAGGGCACCAGGCACCTTGGGTCCCCGCACCCCTGGGCCCTCATTGCTCCAGCCCACCCTGGCGGCCGGCAGCCCAGACTGGGACAGCCAGCAGGAGGTTGTGCTGTGGCCAGAGCAGGTGAACTAGCCACTGGCCGCAGGCGCTGGCCCAGGCCTCCCCCTGCTCCGTGCTGGTCGGAGTGCAGTCGTGGCCGGGTCCAGGGGAGGGGAGAGCATCCAGGGGAGGGGAGAGCGTCCAGGGGAGGGGAGAGGCCGAGAGCCACAGGACCGGCAGCAGAGGCCCCACGGTCGGTCTGTCGGGTCGGTCGCAGGTCTAGCAGGTCGCTGCCTCTCGGGCTCTGCAAGTTGAGACAAGGCTGCATCTAGAGCAGCGGCTGTCCTCAAACCCAGGACCCACTCCAGAGGGACCCGCAACGGCGCTGCTCTGGCGGGAGTCCTGGCGTTCCCACGGCCAGCGCCCCAGTTCTGGTCAGCCCTGGGCACTGGGAAGATTGGGAAGCTGGGGGTTCCCTCGCAGAGTGGAGCCTCAGCCAACAGGTTGTCACATCTTTGTCTCTATGAGGGCCCCCCCCCTCCTCTTCCTCCTCCTCCTCCTCCTCCTCCTCCTCCTCCGTCACTCTTGTCCTCCTTACTCTCCAGCAGCCATCTCTCCAGGTGCCGTGGCCACTTCGGGACCCCAGCGAGGGGTCTGAGAGGACACCCTGTGCCCTTCCCACCTGGACAGTGAACAGGGGCTGTGCCTGGTCGCTGGGCCCCCCTCGCCTGGCTCAGGGCTGGTGCCCACAGGGCTCCAGACACCTGAGGGGTGAGTCGGTGGATGGCCGCCACTGCTTTTGTTTTAATAAAATTTATTTGGGAATAATTTCAAGGAATGTCCACTTTTAAATTCCAGGCTGACCTCAGCTTGGCTTCCTCTCCCCACTGGGCCCTCCTTCCCGCCCCCAGGCCCCTGCTCCTGGCCAACACTTTGCGGGAGCCTCCGGCCTGCTCTCGCCCGGAGGGGGTGCATTGGGAAGGGAATGGGGTGCTCGGAGGGGGGACCCCTGGAGGATGGACTAGGAGAGCCAGCGAGTGCGGGCGGGCGGGCGGAGTGTGTGAGATGACAGGGCACAGGAGGTGCATGGACCTGTAGGTAGCGCTGTTGGTGCCAACATTGGGGAGGGGCTGAGTGGCCCCGGAAACGCACCCCCAGCCCCTCAGGGTGCACTGCCTCAGGGAGAGGGTCTTTGTGGGTAATGAGATGAGGTGCGGTCGGCTGGGGGGTGGCCCCGATCCAGGGGGACCCTGTCCTGCAGGAGAAGGCCCTGCCCTGGCTGGTCTGGCTCAGAGGGTGGAGCATCGGCCTCAGACCAAGGGTTTGGTTTGGATTCCCCAACAAGGGCGCGGGCCTGGGTGCAGGCTCCGCCTCCGGCCATCAGAGCAGGTGTGGGAGGTAACCAATCCATGTGTGTCTGTTCTCTCTCTCTCTCTCTCTCTCTCTCTCTCTCTCTCTCTCTCTCTCTCTCTCTAAAAATATATCCTCAGATGAGAATTTAAACATTTTTTTTAATTAAATGGAAAAAGTGAAAAATCCTTAAGGTGACACCCTGGGGAGAGGAATCATTAAAGGTGGTTGGCAGAGAAGTGACAGCGGCTGGGGGACCCCAGGCCAGCGGGCTGTGGAATGAGAGCGGACGATGTGGGAGAGGTGCCCAGAGCCCAGAGGAACCCATACCCCTGGGCCCAGAGGGGCAGGTGTGGAGGGGACGGCAGGTGTGAGGGACAGGGAGAGTCAGGAGGCATCTAAGAGTGAAAAGCCCCACCAATGGACTGAAGTGTGGGTGAGGGGGGGTCCATGTTGACTGTCCCCCAAGGCCAGCCTGAGGTCCTGGGGCAGCGGGGGGCTGGGCTCTGTGGTCAGGCAATCAGCCGGGACATCCTCTCTGGGCAGCGGAATGAACGGGCCAGGCGCCCAGGGTCAGGGCCACACTGCGGCTGTGTCCTGGGGGCGCCCAGCCCAGGTGAGGGCCCTCCCGCTCCATGGCCGTCAGTCTCTGCCTTCGCCCGCCTCTTCTCCCCCCGACTGCCTGGGACCCGCGGCCCACCGATCTCCAAGCAGACACAGCCCACCCCCACCCCCACTCATACACACACTCACACACACACCACTTATACACACCCACCCTCACTCACACACACACTCACACCACACACCACTTACACACACCCACCCCCACTCACACACACACTCACACCACACACCACTTACATACACACACACACCCTCATACACACCCACCCACATTCATACACACACTCACACACACACCACTTACACACACCCACCCTCACTCACACACACACACCACACACCACTTATACACACCCACCCCCACTCATACACACACTCACACACACACCACTTACACACACCCACCCCCACTCATACACACACTCACACACACACCACTTACACACACACACCCACACTCATACACACACTCACACAC